AGGGTTGCGATCCGTTGCCGGACACGGAAAAAAGACAAAAGACAAAAAAAAAAAAAAATGGACCTTCTATAATTCCTTGACTTCCAGGACTTTTTAGGGCCTTATCTTAGTTTGGTTCCCCCAAGGAACAGACGGGAGATCAGCATTCTAGCGTAAGTGGTTTATTGGGAGGTGAGCCCGGGAAACGCCACAACAGTGGGGAGGTGAGACAGGGAAGGGAAGGAAGCAAAAAAGCTGTGCCATCAAACCAGTTAGCTTTCTAGAACAGTCCCAAGGGGGTGCTCCAGAAGTCAGAAAAGCTCACACTTCAGGGTTACTCCAGCTGAAGGCCAAGGGAGCTGGGGTGTTTACCCACCACGCCCTCTCTGGCTGAGGGCTGCTTGCAGGCATCATCTCTGGCGCTCACGGCTTGAGTCACAGATGTTGCAGCAGCAGCCTCCCCAGTGCAGAGGCGAATGCCAGGGGTGGGCTCAGAGACCCCGTCTGCTACAGGCCCCTTGCTGAGGTCCTCCCTGTGGTGTTCTCTTCTTTCTACTGTAGCAAACCCCAGGGACTAGATGCAAGACCTCGCCTGGCTGTTTCATTCCCCAGCCAGGTGATGGCTCCACAGGGTCCAGCGTCTCCTGCTGACCCCCCAGTGGGTTGCTGTGTGTCTGGGGTTCTCTCTCTTCCCCTCCGCCCCCAGGACTTTACGATGACCCTCTACCTGAGGCACTACTGGAAGGACGAGAGGCTGTCTTTTCCGAGCACCAACAACGTCAGCATGACATTTGACGGCCGGCTGGTGAAGAAGATCTGGGTCCCCGACATGTTTTTCGTGCACTCCAAGCGGTCCTTCATCCACGACACCACCACGGACAACGTCATGCTGCGGGTCCAGCCTGACGGCAAAGTGCTCTACAGCCTCAGGTAGGAAGAACGGCAAATCATTCATTCATCTTAACTAAGAACGGCATCAATTTCACAGCAGCAATTTTGCTTTTTAGCTCTGAATATCTAACTTCTAACTTTTCAGGAGCTGCTAACTTCTCAACATCAAGGAAAACTAACTTAACAAATAAGTAAAACTTTTAAAGAATTATTCAGTCTTGAAAATACATTTGGAGAAATTTATCAGGCTGATACTTATGTCTTATGTCTTATCCTGTATGTTATATTTTAATTAAAAATTTTTACTTTAATAAAAGTTTATTTCTCTAGTAGGAGTCACAGAAATAGATAATGCATTCTTCTCAAAAACTTGCCTCCCCCAATCCTACTGATTCCCATTTTCTGGCTGCATTTTAGACCTTTGGTTTTAAAAAACTTTTGCCCCATCTGGCTAGCCACAGGCTTATTTTCTATCCTGAGAAACTATGGGGACCCTGGACTACTTCACGACTTTAAATGACATTCTTAGCACCACCTCCCTGGGAGGGGGTGTAGAGATGAGTTGCAGGCCTTCACAGACAGGGACGGCTTACTTGCTGTGATTTACTCTTCTTGTGCTGTGAAGATGGTACATTTCAGTTTTACAGACTTGGTTTTGGCTCACATGCTGATGAATGGTAAAGATGAATCCACATGCTAATGTCCAAGCAGGGAGTTCCTAGACAGTTGCACAGAGTATTTTTAGAGGCAGAGGTTGCAATGTTGAAGCTAAGTTTCTGTTCCTATCTTCCTAAGAAATATTTATAATTATCCCTCGATATTCATTCTGGCTTGGAACTGAAGCAATTAGGTACCAGACTCAGAGTGGGGTTATGAGAATTTCATCTCCACAGCTTCAAATGCCTCCTCCCATAGAAAGTACTCAGGTGGGTCAAGGATGTGCAACCCCTTCCCCAAGCCATGTTGGGCTGGTTCTACCTGGAGTCCTCATTTCTGACAGATTCAAGGCACCTGAAGGCTCAAAAACTACTGACAAAACAATCCAAAGCCACAGTATCAGCAGAGCTGTAGAGAACCAGACCATAGCACACATGACCATCGGTGTGCTGGTAAATGTTTAACAACTGGTTCCAAGGCAAGTATGCATACATATGCGTACATAAATTTATTATAAATATTACTGATTTAAAGATGTATAGCACATGATTTACAGATGAAATAAAATATATAATACTTTTAAGTTGAGCATGATTTCCTATTTCTTATAAATTCCATATACTTATAAGTTGAGCATGATGTCCTATTTCTCGTAAAAACCACTCAGTTTTTTTCTCTATCAGTTTTTATAATTCTATCACCAGCAATAATTCTACAAAGTCAGAATATGAGTACATGTTTGTAAGTATGCTCGCTGACGTGATTGACGAATGAGCGTAGACCTGATGAATGTTGGTTGATATCTTCATTTACATTAATAGACAAAAGTGAAACAAAGAGGAACTATGTAGGAACTTCACTTATTCATCAAAGTCATTAAACAACTTCTTTACTGAATTGGATAATAACTTTCAAATATTGGAAGAATATTTCCTCAATATTCTGTACTATTCACAATGTAATGGTGATAGATATAACACACTTTTAGGTTTAATCTGCTTTCTTAAGTCTAGACAATCAACAAGACAATCAATCTAGCCCTGATTTGTGGTATTTGCCAATTTTTGTAATATAGATATTCCCATCATGGCTGATTTCCAGTTACCAGCCTGATCTCACTGACTGTAGAGTTAGAAATGCAGGTTAGCCCACAGTTACGCGGTATTTCCACGACGACAATCAACAAGACAATCAATCTAGCCCTGATTTGTGGTATTTGCCAATTTTTGTAATATAAATATTCCCATCATGGCTGATTTCCAGTTACCAGCCTGATCTCACTGACTGTAGAGTTAGAAATGCAGGGTAGCCCACAGTTATGCGGTATTTCCACAATACAGATGCAGTAGATGTAAATAACTTCAGGAAAATAGACAGTCATAAAAAGTAGTAAAATAACTAGGAAGTGGTGAATTTTGAGTATTTATTACTTTTGTTTTTAATGTATTTTAATTTTTTTTTNCCTAGAATTCTCTGAGACAACAACCTTGGACGAAATTTGTTCTCATCTCGGAGCTGGCAGATGGAACTCTGAGTACATGTCTGAGGGCCGAGTGTGGTCTGCTGGCTTGAATTAAATGAAAATAGCTCAAGAAAATAATGACTTCTTGAAGAAGAACAGCAAAGCCCTCTGAAGCACGGCCTGAAGCCACTGGGTTTCAGCCCTCTTAGTGTCCAACAGGGTTACATTTATTTCAGGAATCATTCTCATGACTCTTATTTCTTCCAGTTGGCTTTGCTTAAAGAATAACCAGATTCTGGAAGGGAGTCTGTCCTTTCCATAACCTGCTGCCATTGGATCTAGACCCACCTTTTCTCTCCACAAAGACTGGAGTGTGCTCCATGTCTGCCCCCCATCTTGAAAGCAGGGAAGATGGGGGAAGGGATCTATTGCCTTTATTATGCCTTCTT